ATCCGACTGCTGCTGGATGCACCCTTCTGTTGGTTTTCCGAAGCTTTACGGATACAGTTTTGGCACTGGGGCTTATAAATGTTGGGTGCCCCGCATCCGTAACAAAATATACGGCGGTCAGCAAGGCAATTTTCCCACAGATGCCCTTGCTCTTCGCAGTTCCAACATTTAAAGTTGGTATGACATCTACGAATTGCTGCGATGTCAAAGTTTGTATCTTCTGAATTTTCTACCTCCGGTTCATTAAAAGACTCTTCTAGTCCATATACTTGGCGACGGCCAATAGTTCTGGATTTATTCATACCATCAGTGCGACAACTGAGCTCATGAACTAAATTCTCGTTCATTTGGACCAATCTACGTAGATGGCCAACTGAACTTATTGGCTGGTATAGCAGTTTATGTCGGGTTTCGGGTAATAAATTATTTTTTAAAATTTCGATTAACTCCTCCTCGTCAATTTTAATTGCAAATTTATCGATCAGTGACGCTACAGCGTCATGGAACGACACAAATGATTCCCCAGGGTTTTGCTTTCTAGCTCTTACCAGTTCTTTGCTCATAAAATCGGACCGATAATCTTTGTACTGATGGCGAAGTGCAGTACAAAATTCAGTCCAGACTATGTGGTCTACCTGCTTGTGGTACCGCCAGTACCAGTCACGGGCTTTGCCTAAAAATAGCACATGTAAGTGCTTACAGAGACCCATAAAGTCGCTGTCCAAAGTTTCATCAGTCAATGTTTTGACTCTATACAGAAATTCTTCTACCCCTAATCCTTCGGTAGACCCATCAAAATGAAGATTCCATTTTTGCATGGTGTCAGCAATTTTCCCATTTCGGAATGACGAACTACTAGGCGACACCTGGATCGGGGTTGGCAACACTCTTGGAAAGGGTGGTGCTTGTATTTGCAGTGATGACATAACGCGAGTAATTGATTGTTCGATCATCTCCTGAATTATCCTATAGTCCACTCCCAGATTTTGGCGGGTATAATTGGACTGAGTGGGTCTTCCTCTTCTTCTTACACCAGGAGCTGGTCGTGCAGGAGCGATTTCAGGTGGATTCGTGCTATTGCTAGCGTCGAGTCCTGATTGTGGTACATCACTAACATCTAATAACCTTGCTGTTGGATTCTCGCCACTCTGGGTCGGACCAGGATTAAGAGATTTTGCTAGACTGCGCGTTACCGTTCTCCCTATGTTAGTAGGTGGAGGTGGGGCAGATTGTTTTCCTCTCGGCGAGCAATCTCCAACAACTAATTTAATTGAGGCTGGATCAATCACAGCACTACAACTGGGACATTTAGCATGGTTTACCAACCAACCTTCCAAGCAAAGTTTGTGGAAAACATGCCTACAAGGGGTGCAATAGCAAGACTGTGTATTGTCCATTACTAACTGGCATAGAACACAGTGGTTATCAGCGGTCTCTGACGACGGCTGTACATTTTGTGGGCTGCGTAAAGGCAACATGCTTCATTCATATTTTCCTGATTCGTGACATTGGTTTGGTAATATAATAAAGTAGAAGTTATTTGTTTTTTTTTTTTTTTTTTTTTTTTTTTTTTTTTTTAATTACGAAATATAATCGCCTCAATGAAAGTAGGTAATTTATCTGGTTTATTGAAACTACTATAGAAAGCGGTTTGTAATATTCAACATTTTAATCTAATCAGAAATGTTCGGCAAGGATATGCAAAGCAGCATATGGCCAAGTTCCGGGCAACATTCTAACTATCTTTGATAGTATCGTTAATACAAAACCATTCAATCTAACTTTATAACTTTTGGCTCCACGAAGACTGAGATTTACTTAACCATCAACAAGCTATCAAGTAGCAATCAGTACTGATATCTTAGCAAAATATGCAGTATTCTAAAATTGCATTTGAAAGTATTTCTACCTAAGCAAACCTAATCTGTTGTTTCTCCAAAATTATAAGAAAGAAAACGAGCAAATGTATGGGACCGATTGTATAGCTGGTGTTAATAACTATAGTCGTGTTTATATATAGGCACTCAACAATATAGTAAGGTCAGATTCTCGGCATAATTCAAGCTCTGAATTGTAAGCATCGTAGTCCTAATTACTATCTTGTATACTACCAGTATCTGCGCATGCGGAAGATAGACTAAACCAGTCACATCGACGTCAGCGTGCGTGGACAATAATATAAAGACTCATTTTTTTTTTTTTTTTTTTTTTTTTTTTTTTTTTTTTTTTTTATAGACAACCTCGGGCCCCATGATTGGGCGCCAAAAATTTATGTAGCATGTACTGTGGTGAAGCTACTCTAGCAATACATATCGGGTAGCAACGGTGACGGCGGTTGGCAGCCAATCTTCACAAAATAATTCGGGAAGTAGTCACCGAGGCCCCTCGTGGTTGAGTTAGCATGGCAGGGCGGGATCCTCTTGTTCCCTAGCTCTTTCGGGTGGGGGGGTTCTTTTTGCCATGTCTCGACCTGCATACACAATTTTATTTTAGGATCCCTACAGAATCTAAATTGGAGACCGATACTCCGCAGAAACAAAATCTCAAACAGGCATAACTTAACGAGCACTTAAAGTGCCAATACAATGGTGATAGCTTTCATTAGGGCATATATATTCCGAAGAGGCGAAGTCTTGGATGTAAGCTGACTCTCGCGTTCGATACCCTCCCAACCATGATCTTCAGCGTTTAAGGTTTTGAAGATCCCAAAAAAAACATTCTTCTACTACATTATATCACCATGTCACCAGGAAAGAAAACTTAGCAATTCATAATCAAAATCCGTAATTAATATTTATTATAAACAAAAGCATTATTCAATGAAACTGAATCCTTCCGTTAGATAATCTGCATCTTATTACAAGTGGCATTAATGATTCAACAATAATTCAGTAACTAAAACTAGTCCGTTAATATTTTTACAATGTCTCAAAGATTCTTCAAAAATAATTCATTTTATAAACTATTCAGTTAATATTTTTTTTTCTTATTGATCAAAAAGAAACTCTCCAAATTTCGCTAAAGTGCATTTTAATAATTATAGAATATAGCTAGGTAAGAAAAAAATGACATTCGTAAATTGAACTAAAGTGTATTCGGCAAAAGCAAAAAAAAAGTTATTATAATAGAGTCAATACAATTGTAGTTGATGGTTAATTGTATGGTCGAAAAAAATATGGGCAACAGAAGGTTAAGCTCAAAGCGCATGGGCAAATCGGAGCGCAGCGCAACCAGCTGATCGGTGAATACGATGATACATCTTTGTGTACATATATTTGATTCTGTTAAAAATCTTTTCTTTTAGGTTGCTTCTGTTTCAGCTAGTAATTGAGCGGGGTGTAGGTAGAATCAAAGATGATAAGCATTCACCAGACTGACACGGTCATAAACATATTGATCGGAGCTAAAGCGTAATGTGAAACAGAAAGTAAAAAAAACTCAGCAGGTGCGCATGTCAGTTTGGCTGTGCTTATCTGTGCCAAAATAAGAAAATATACTCAAAACAAAAGGTTAAAAACTTACATGTATTCCTCGATGAAAGGCCTTCCAGCGGAGAGTTTGCAGCAAATTTTATTTAATTTTTTTTTCATTTGTTTTCTTTTGTCTTCTGTGGGGCTTTAAATTGTTTTGATTATATTATTATGGCACAGGAGGGTTTTTAAATTGTGAGTACTAAGAAGATACTCTCCGAAAATAAGTGGGAAAAAAAATATAAAAAAATTCTGAAATGACTTTGGACTCTACAAGAAGGGGGATAGATTTATACTAGTATTCCTTTCTATATATATAAAGCTATGTATATAGATGTCAATTTTTCTTTTTCACTGCACTTGCACGCGGTTTTTTGAGGGCCTAATAAATGCACTTTTCACAAACTTTTGGAAGTCTCTCACAAGATTTAGTTAACAATTTTTTTACTAAAAACATTTAACAGCAATTTTCATGCATCTGCACGCTCCGGCCAACTTAATTGGCGATGTCATCTGGGCTTCTGATCAGCGGCGCGTCAATGGGGCCCAGAAGGCTACTGCCTCTTCCGGATTCCAAACTGTGGAAACGGCGCCTGCCCTTGCTGGCATGAGCAAGGGTATGGCAGCTGATCCGCCGTTGAGGCTGACGTCTATTTAATGGGGGCAGAAATGTCATTGCCGTCCCAAGAAATTACAGTGCCGTCCAATTGGCACACGTGGCGGCTGCCTCAAAATAAGTGGGTTTTTCTGTCAGAGACGGCGGCGGCAAGATTTATTCCTCCAAAAATTACTTTCGGCAGGCAAGCAAGAACTGGTTAAAACTGTGACCAGATCTTGGCACAAAGAAATATATGCCGGTGAGGTGCTGGTGGCCGGGTGGCGGAGCGAAAGGTTATCATCAAATGAACAAAAAAATTTATTTCGCCAATCGGTTACTTTTAGGGTTTTTCTTTTTATTTTTTTTGTTGTTTTTGGTTCAATTTAGTTGGAATTTAAATTAAACGAATTAAACGACTGATGCCCGAACTTGTTGCTTTTAGATTAATATTTTGGTGGGGCTATGTCCGCACCGCCGTAGCCAGACCTTCGATGGTAAAGTAACTTTTGAAAAAAAAAAGGGTTATATCCGGGACCTGCAGGCTTATATAGGGTCTCAGAGCTTTTTTCTTTCCCGGATTAGATGGAAGATAGCTGCGCTGCCAACGTGCACGCAGGCGGTTTATAGCAGCGGCTGACTCATTCGCAGCTGACCATGACAGACAAAAGCTGATCGCTATAGCGTCGTTACACAAACGCAAGCTGTTAGGATCGCTTACGCGGTTTAATTTAAATAGGAAAACTGCGACCATTACAAACAATTAACAAGAGCCGAAGATCGCGTCAAGTGCTGTGTGACAGCATCCGCCTCGCTTGAATGGAAATAAAATCCATTGCGTTCATATTGTGTTCTAGTTTGGCATTCCCTAAGCCGTAAACTCGTTTCTGTAAGCCGCAACGCACCTACGCATTTGCTGGCCTGGCCTATAAAAGCGTCCAGTTGATTGGCTAAAGGCATCAGTCGCTGACAAACCAACAGACCATAACAATCAACATGCAAGTAAGTTGACTCAAGGCAATTGCTTCAGTGTTTTTCCTTTAATTTGACTCTTCTTTTGCTGCAGTTCTTCATCTGCTTGGCTCTCTGCGTGGCTGTCGCTCAGGCAGGCTACCTGGCTGCTCCAGTTGCCACCTACGCTGCCGCTCCAGTGACTACATATGCTGCAGCAGCTCCCTTGGCCACCTATGCCCGGACCGCCTATTCCGCTGCCGCTGTGCCCGCCGCCTACTCCACCTATGGAGCTCAGGCATATGCCGCACAATATGCAGCCCCATATGCTGCCGCTACCTACGCTGCCTCCCCGTACGCTGCCACCACCTATGCTGCCTCCCCGTATGCTGCCACCACTTATGCTGCCTCCCCCTATGGCGCACCCATCTCTACCTATGCTGCTCCAGCTGTCATCAGCCCCTTCCTGAAGAAGAAGTAAATGGGCAACTCGCTAAACGATTCTCAATTCACTGTTTCCATTTTGCATAATTGATCATTTAATAAACTTTTTTTACTACAATTAATAGAAATATTGTTTTTCTAAATTCAATTTGAGTAAACTTGACCAATATAGTATATAAAAAATTAATTTCTCATGGCAAATACCTGACTTTTCTTTAAAAACTCATAAACTTTTCGAACATAATATACAGTGAAAGCCCCATAAACTAACTACATACTTAATTCAAGCAAACTTCTAACAAAACAACAAACTCGCACCGCGGTTGTCCGCTCGAGAGAGCTTTTACTGTGCACAGTCTTCGGTCTTGGGGTTCCACAGCGCGTGGGCGTCAAATGGCCAATCACACGGATTAATTGCCTGGCGATAAGAAATGTTTTGGAAACTAACAGCAGCAGCACCCAGCTCCCAGCTCTGGAGTGTGGCCTCCTCTGCGAGCTGGCGAACGCGCGTGCTCAAATAAATCATTTTCAAGACACGGCGCAGGCAGCCAGAGGGTGGACTCGCTTGGCCCAATCCATGGCGATCGCATTTCAAGTGCAAAAGTGCCGCAAGTGGCAAAAACAAAAGGTGACTGCCACAACAATTGTGGGTGTAACAAATTCGCCGTCAAATCGCGAACAAATCTCAAAATAAAAAGCGAATACACAGCACCAGAGCGAGAGCCAGAACCCGACCAGAATCCCAGCTCAGTGATCGTATGTGGTGTGCGGGGCAAATGGGTGTCTAAGATGTGCCAAAGTGAAAGCCACAACACTTGAAGCATAGCGGGCGGGCAAGGGTTGCCACGGTTTACAATTTAGACACCGGAAAACAATGAAATTGACAGCGCTTGAGCTTTGGGCGATCATCTGCTCAGCCATTTAGTGGATATTTGTTGGGAATTCTTTGCGGCGCTGTCTTATTATCAATCTTGAAGTGGGCAGTGTTAGGGCCACAGGGTTGCCAGGGTGTTCAAGGATATCAATGCTTGAAAGAAGTAGAATTTAAGGGTAAGATAGCCAGGAGGTATCAAAGAATATGGTTTGTTCAACCGTTTATCACGCATTTTTCACCTGCTCGAGTGGAATTTATCAAGAATAAGTCTATTTAAGTATCATACCTCACAGAAGGGTATAGAGATCTTCCCCTACTCTAGGGGATTAGTTGGGATGTGCATTGTTTGTCAATCAGTCAGTCCGTAAATATCTTTAACGAATCGTTGTTTAACTTTTATAACCAACTACTCAACAAAAAATCTTAAATCTTATCGCATATTTGCTATAGCTAAATACTCATCCATTTGGCCAATCTGGCAACCCTGCTCGGCTCAGTCAACATATTCAAGAAGCATAGCTAACCGAGAGCAGGCACAAGAATCACTTGCAAAGTGTTGCCCAAAAATGCCGCGCGAACACCGTTCAATTGCATTTAAGAAGCCAAATGACCTACGGCGAACCCCTCCCGCCCTCTCCCGTCTTACCGCATACTGAGTGGAAAGGGGAGCCACTTATTCACAACTCAATGCCTGTTTAGCACAGACAGACAGTTGGGGCCAAGTCCGAACGCATGGCCTCTAACAAGTCTAACAAGCCTTTCCGCAACTGCTGCCAACAATACTTGCATCCGCTGCTCCTCCCTCTCGCCATGCGCTTATAACGCATACAAATATTATATTTAAGCCCAGACGAGAGTCTCATTTCGTGCCAGGCATCGAATCCTGCAGTTCGATACCATCGCAGCGCCGAATGCCGAACGGCGAACGGCAACCGCGCACGCGCAGCGCCTGCACTTGAGAGCTCTGGATGTGGCTGGGCATTGGGATTGGGATGTGGAATTACTTGGTACTTGGCTTAAATTACAGCTTTTGAATTTTCGTAGCTACAGCTGCGTAGTTATGACCATGTTTGTCTATTGTCTGCTTAACGTTTGGGCTTTTTTTGTTTTTGCTTTTTTTGGTAACTATTTTCTTTGTAAGTGTTTTGGCAAATTCGTTAAATTGCACGTGAGATCCTTTGATAAGTGGCATTGGCTGCATGTGATCTAATGTTGACGGCTGAATCGGCAAAATTATTTACACGATTTTTTTAATAGAGTTGAAGGAGGACCGGAACGAATAGTAAACCTCTCTAATGAATAAATAAATAAATAATACATTTAGCTTAGATATATCTTGTTTAATTAAAGACAGCTGTTTTTCAGAATTGCTAAAGCACTTATGCATGTTTTTAAGTCCAGCCAAGAACATTATTAATTCCTACTTATTGACACTACAAGAAACTTACTTAAAAGACAACCCATTCTCACACTCCCAAAGTAAACATGTCCACCCGTTTATATGCCCCATACCCATTTATCCAGCTGCCTTTCTCTTGCAATATTTACATGCAATAAAAAATTAACATTAAGAGAGCCTGTAAATGGAAAAAAGTGCGTGGCGTAGATGAAGATGAATAGCCGACAGAAGCACAGTGGGACAAGCACATAGTTCGAGCAGTCAAAACCTTATTTACCCCCAGCTGATGGTTGGAGTAATAAGAAGGTGAAAACGAAGAAAAATCCGGCAGAGGTAGACATAAAGGTATAAGTAAAAAAAGGAATTGAAAAATCCTTCACCTTCGTTAATACAAATGACGCCCCGAGAGACCAGAGACCAGGATCAAGGGAGAGAAACAACTAAACAACAGTCTGCACACGCACAGGCACACGCACACAACAACAATGGATAAGAAACGTCCCGGATATGTTCCAGCGGAAGCTGAGAAAGTAGCAAGAAAAAGACGGCTGAAAAAAAAAGAAATCATTTACATGTGAGTGGGGAACAATGCGTGGAGGGATGATTATTAAATGGGTGGCATGTTTAACTATAAAACGCACAAGACGCGGATGAGGGGAGCTGCGGACAAGGGTGGGTGCCAATGAAGGACAGCGCACAGGATTTGCATGAAACCCCGCGTCTGGGGCATGGGCTGCCAGACAGGGGGCCAACTGAATGGACCCAAAGTAGGGCTGGGCACGTGGTTGCTTTTTGGACAGACTATTGGTGTGACAAGCAGCTCTGCTGAGGACTGGAGCGGAGCAGGGGAACAACTTCTACGTAAGTGCGGTACTTGAAACCGCCTTAAAGCGTGCTCTGTGGATGGCCAGCAGCAGGGCAGGACAGGGCAGGGCTGCGCGGGGAAGAAGCAGCAGGCACTGAATTATGCAAAAGATTTACGCGCTCTGAAAAACTTTTTTTTTTCTTTTCTATGGGCGTTTGTAGTCGTCTTGGCCATAGCCGTCACATTGTATAAACTTTCGAGCCGGACGCCAAACGCATCTGACAGTCATACACTGAAGTTATCCACAGAAAGGGAGAGAGATGGTGTGTGTGTGTGTAATATTTAGCTCACTGTGCGACAGTTGGCATAGGCTAAGGCTGAGCTGTTGTCAGAAACAAAACAAGCAAAATTTGTTGCAGAAGCCAACAAAGCTCACAGGATTACACAGAAAAGTGCTCAGCAGGCCCACTGGACAATTGTGCCGGGACATTCGCGGCAATTTATTTGAGTAAAAGAGAGGCAGTTTATCATTTTTTCCTTAGAAGCTCTTCGAGAATATTTTCAAAAACTTTATAACAAGAATTTTCTTTGTTTCACTGCAAAAGCACTGACAGTTGTAAATAGTCGAAATATGGAAGAGTTAAAAGCTGCTCAGTTCCCGGCAAGCTTAACTTAGCCCAGCATAAAAGCTGTCAATGTTAACTCTGGTATCTTTACCTCTTTTTTTAAAGCTCGCATTAAAGCTCTGTTAAAGTATGATTTTAGATGAAAGATTTATTCAAGCTTGAAGCTTGTATAAAAGCACATTGAACAATTAGGCTCTACGTTCTTCAAAAACCTCAGAGCGATTAATCTAAAAGTAAATGCAAATGCTTCAGAATGTTTAAGCTTAACTTAAAGCTCCACAAGAAAGCTTTTTCAAGCAATCTTAAAACTTCAAATATTCTTAGGACGCTGGCATAGCGTTCTCCCACATCCTCTGGCAAAGTTCTTCACGAAATGCTGTAATTTACAAAAACAAATTGTTGTCCAGTTTTTACTAAAAGCTATTTAGCCAACGTTTTCCCATATCAATAATCGCTCAGTTTGCGGGATCATCAGAAGAGGAAGAAGCAGCGCCATAATCACTCAATTGAAAGGCAATATGGCGCCTAGCGGTCAAATGGCAATAAAAATCAATATTGAATCCGATGAGAGAAACTCCGATCCCAGATTCGTGAACTCAAATACGTAGCAAATAAATCGCATGCGATAGAAATAAGCATTGAATTCTATTAAAAGGCTGCTGCCAGGGCCAAGTGAATATGCAAAGAGTAAAAATGGAAAAGAAACCGCTTTGATCCAAGCCGCAGCAGTTGAAGAGTCCCTGGAACCTGGAAGACGGACACAGGACAGGACAGGACGGCAGGTAGAAACCGCAGGCAACTGAACCATCGGTAGGGGCAAAAATCGTTGAAATATTTCAATTAACTTAAAGTGCGCCGCCGCGCAGAAGGACGTGAATGAGCCAAAGATGGGAGTTCGAAGTTGGAGTTGAAGTTGGGAATCTGCAGGCTGGCGACTTGCAGCCAGTTGGCGAGTTGGCGACTTGCCGGCTCCGGCGTCGGACAATAAACAATGTTTTGACAAATCGCTGAAAATTGAGTGCGCAAAATTATTATTTTCAATTTAAAAATCAAAAGCAGAGAACAGATAGCCATAACCAGAACCCGAACCTCGGTCGTGTGTACGATATATGGGTATTAAATTTGCCGCCTTGGTGCCGTCCCTCACGGGTTGCTAATGATTGCAAATTAAGAATTTAATATCGCGGATACATTGTGTGTATGAGTATGTGAGTGTGTGTGCGCATGTGTGAGTGGAACGTACGTCCAACATGTGGTTATAAATTCACTGGGAAATTGCACAAGTTGGCCATTATAGTAAATCAGCTGAAACGATTCGAAGCGCAGACTATTC